AACGGAAAAAAAAAAAAAAAAAAAAAAAAAAAAAAAAAAAAAAACTGGATAGCTTGGGCCCCCAAAGAGGATGAGCTAGGAACATTCCAGCGTCTCTTCCCACCCTATGATGTTTGGGGTGTGCAGTAATCTTGCTGATTGTTTCTTTTGGTAAACATTTAATTGAAGTTTGAAGCATAATGAACATTTTAAAGTGAAAAATACATTCTAGTCTAGTGGCTGCTAGGGATTCAGGCAAGGAAGAGAAATGAATAGGTGGAGCACAGAGGATTTTTAGGACAGTGAAACTATTCTGTGTGATACTGTAATGGTGGATGCCTGACATTCTGAATTTGTCAAAACACAAACAACTGTACAACACAAAGTGTAGACCCTATTGTAAACCGTGGACTTTTCATAATGTACCAATATTGGCTCAGCAGTTGTAACGAATATACCACAATGATACAAGATGTTCACAATTAGGGAAACTGTGATCAGAGGAGAGAGGAGATATACATGGGAACTCTCTGAACTATCTGCTAAATTTTCTGTAAACCTAAAACTGCTCTACAAAATAAGGGGCACTGATTACAAAAATACATTCCAGTTTTTTTTATTATTGTTGTTACTATTTTTAAAACCAAGCCAAACTAAACCAAAATGACAGGTGATGGCCAGAGAGGGTGGTTTCCCAGGTACCACGAGGAGAGTTCTGCAATGTTTTTTTAATGTGAGGATTACTGTACTCAAAACATGTGGGGTTTTCTTTCTTTTCTTTTTTTGCATTAACTCTACAAATAAAACAATAATACACGAATATTCCACTTTGTGCCCAGAGAAAAAGATAACGACATTAAAGAACAAGTGAGAAATGATGACACATATAAAGTACCAATAGAAGAGCTTCTTACCTCCAAGGAGAACTGTAAAAGTGTCACCATGCTGCTTTTGAAGAGATTTTATGAAACCTAAGGGATTTTTTTGTAATTTCAGGGCCATTCCAACATAAGGGAGCCAACCTCTTATCAATGGAGGCTCGCCAGGTCTCCTACAAGAAAAAAGAAAAAAGAAAAGGTCGAATCATTTTTATTTTGATGCACGTGGTTATCTCTCCAGTCTAGAAGTAATTGGCACTAATTGCACAGCTTCATTCAATTCTTTCATTCAATGGTTCTTACATGACTATAGACATGTGTAACTGAGCTTCTTCAGTATGTATGGTTCTGGGGTACACAGTTCAATTCACAACTTTTGGTGAGCAACTTTCTTGAGGAATTTTGTTTTGCAAGGCTCGAATGGCTGCTTGACAGTTAAGCACAATCTGTTTTATTTGCTTCATGTTCAATTTCCCATCACCCTAAGTAGGCACCTGTAGGCCTGATGAGTCTGTGACTATGGGGATCTCTAGGAAACTAAATCAACGGTTTTATATAATATATTCTATTAAATTGTCAGTGTGGTATAATGCTGATAAAAAAACAAATGGCCAGCTATCTGAAGTTTTTGGTCTTTCACAAGTCATGTTATAAATACTACTTGACACATTTAGTCAATAAGACCTAAACTTAGTCTTAACTAACATTTACAGTTGTCTGCTTTGTGTTTGGTGATGTGCTTGGTGATGTGCTGTGGGACAAGCCAAATCTAAGTTTTAGTCAAGCTGCTGGTTGGAAATCACTTAAACAAGATATTTCAGTTACTGACAATTTTGTTTTACATTAGCATCGTGTTTTTATATGTGTAGACCCACTCAAACTAACCTCATCTTATTTTAAATCTCAACCCATGCACAGGCATTTAGGTCTTTCCACAAATAAAGGGTATGAAGTTTGGTGTTTTTTTTAATCTTAAGAAATCTTCAATTATATTCTTATAAATGAAAGATTTAGGAGGATAATGTATTATGGAATTTAACTTTTTTTTAGAATATAATATATATATTTAAAATTTTACAACTCAATATAACAACCAAAAACATTGGGCAAAAGACTTAAACGGACACTTCACAAATGAAGATACACAATGTCAAAAAAACCCCCTGAAAAGATGTTCAACATCATTAGTTGTCAGGGAAATATAGTCTTTTTGTTGTTTTTTTTATTGGTTATGAATATTCATGAGATACAAAGCTGATTTTTTTAAACTGCTTAAGTGTACTTAACACTGTAAATGGAGGTGTGTTCTTTAGGATGTGCAAGTTATATTAAAATGTTTATTGTACAGTTTTTCACTGAATTCATCGATTACAGAGTTTAGAACTAGAAGGTACCTTGGGGGCTTTTAGTACAATCCTTATTTTTACAGGTAAGGGATCTCAAAGCCAGAGAAGTCAACAAATTTGCCTAAAGTAATAAAACTACTTAAGGGCAAGCTGCACCCCAGGACACAAGCCCTGGCACCCATAGCTGCACCCTATCCCACTAGGAAAAGTAGTCAACCTGTGAACCTAGTAAAACACACCATCAAAGCAGCTCACTGCCTGAACTGACAGACTCATTCAGTAAACATTGCCATTACGTGTGAATCTGAGAGCTCTTGCTGTGCTCTGGGTGTCAGATGTCGGACAGTTCAGTTGCCAAAGTAAAGCTCTTTGTTATCAGATGTCAACTAGACTGGAATTGCATAATCAGAAGAGGAACAATTACTAATCCTAAAAAATCTTTTAGGCTGTTGAGAACAATAAAAACCTCAACATTATTTTCATGAGGTATATTTTGATATATTCTTTTATACAGTTTGTTATTCAAACAACAAATGATTAGTATTATTTGTTAAATTTTAGTAATAATTGAACAACACATTTTTATAACATATAAAGCATCCCTTAAAGTATTAAGAATTAAACAAGATTTTTCTTTTTTGATCTATAATCCCAGCGAAACTGCACTTCAAAATTTCTTCCTAGTCATTTATTTGGTGAGCTCAATCTGATTTAAAGTAAATAAATAAATAAATAAATAAACAAAAAACAAAGCCATTTTATCCTAGAAGGGATTAAAACAAATATTCAAAGAACTCTGATTCTCTAGCCCATCTGTGAAGATGACTTATACTACATGCAGTGCAACCCATTTTGATTAATCACAAGATATTACTAGCTCAAATCTAATCAAAGATCAAGATTATAATCATACCCAGCATGGACTTTTATATACCTAGATTAACCCTATCAGAAGCTTTTATTTTCCCACAACCCAACATGGTAGAATTAAACTTAAAAAATAAACATCAGATCTTTCAGGGGAAAATTTAAAACAAAATAAATTGGAGTTGTGATAGAAGTAAAGATTTTTCTTTCTCTTTTTAGAAGATAATTTATCGTAATGTTAACTTACAAAATGTAGCCTTTTGTTTAAGTACATATACTTAGAAATAGGAAAACAAGAAACACCGCATAGAAACGTTGATCTTATTTTTCATACTTTTCCCCATTATTTTCCTGAATGCAGCCTTTAGCAAGAGATTTGCTTCTTTGAGAAGTATAAGAAAACCAAGAAAACATTGTAACAGTTAATTTCCTATCCAAATATTAAACATGAAGGGACTGCACATATGATTCTATAGTAGGATCACCAAGTTAGAAATGGCCATAGCCCACATGCTGCCTATCAATGACCCTTTCAAATTTGCAAGTGATCTAGTACACAAAATTTTTTCAAATTTTAACGTTCTTCCTTGGTCTACCTTTACTTTGTTTAGTTTATTGTTGCTTGAATGTTACACTGTGACAAAGATTTAAAAAGGCTTTTTGTCATATTCTAATTTAATGCAACTAATTTCCTCCTTTATGTTCTGTCATCCAGTCAAAAGCTGTATTCTTCATAGGGTTTCCGCAGGGGCAATGGATGGGGCTGGGCAATGGATGGGGCTCGGCAATCCAAGGGAATATTAACTTAACGTTCAGTGTTAGGGAAGTGCATTAGAAAGCCATTTTATTGTTACAAAGATGAGAGGGTCATCATTTCTCACTGCTGTGTTTATTTTGGCAGCAGTAAGCTTAAGACTATTAAACACCATGTCACAACTGTGCATATTTCCAGGAAAAATATAGTGCTAGTTCAACTTATGACCCATCCAAGACAGATAACAGAAATCTGTCTTCATCACTATATTTGTAAAAATTATTTAGAGAGGAAAGACATCACCATAATGATCCACAAAGACCTGCTGAAACATGGCACAGTGCAAATACTGCTATTTGTCTCTCCCATGCTCTATGACTTTGAAAATGAAAGACCCACTGCCCAGTGCTGAGTGAGGATATAAGATACTTAATGCTTATTGGGGATGATCAAGTTTTAAAGCTTAAAAGAAATAGGTCCTAAAGCAATGATGGGTAGCTAAAAAGAACAATGTTCCATACTCTTCTTCATCTCACTTAAACAATATGACCTTCCTCAAGTCTTCTCGCTACTATTTAAGGGACTACAAAAATGCGCCTAAGAAATTATACAAATTACACAAATCATTCTCAATTATTAAACCAAGTTCTGTGTATACACCATGGCATCAGTACTTGCAATTTCTTCCATACAAGTTGAAGGACACACCTTAAAGTGCAAAACGTCAAGTACAGTCCAAACTTAACCAGAAGCAAATATTGGAGAAGAATCTAAATACATAGAATGGTATAATATATAAAAGATGTTTAAGATATTTCCTTTTCGTTGAACAGAAGCACATTGAAATTTGAAAGGGTGGACCAACACAGGATACTTGGTTTCTTGTAGTATTTGAAGTTCATCTTTATGCTACACCTGTAGTTAAAAAAAAGGTAAAAACAAAAACAAACAAAAAAATTTGTCTGTGGCCTATTGCATATTGTTCCCCTAGACATTTAAAGCCTAGCACTTGAGGTTCTGCCCCGCCTCGCTGTGCCACACCGGGCCAGGGGGCACCTCGCTGTGGGGATGCGGTTGGCCCAGCGAGTGGCAGGGGCTCCAAACCCCCTGAGTCCAGTGGGTGGGGGCACGCCCCAGGGCTGGGCAGAGGGGAGCTGCTGCGGCCCGCTGGGGGCCCCCCTCTCACTGGTCCAGCACCAGGAGCAGGGCAGGGACAGGGTGGCAGCCAGGTGGCCTCTCTGCAGAGGGCTTGACCTTTGGATTAAAATGTCAGGTGCGTGTCCCTTGACCCTGCAGACCCACTCAAGGGAGTAACTGCAGATAACAAAGATGAGCACACAGAGTGTTTGCTGATGATAAGAACCAAAAGGTCTTGAGGGAGGCCTTGGAGGAAGCCCCAAGCAAGCAAAGGAGAAAGCAGCAGGGCCTCCGCTGGCATCTTCTCTGGGCAGGGGACGTCGCCCCAGCATGAAGCCAATCCCTCGGGAAACCGAGGGCTGAGCAGGAAGGCACGTGGCAGAGACTGGTTGCAGAACTAGGGCCACACCCTGCCACCCTAGCCACACGCATCCCAGTCTGTTCTGACCACTCTTCCACCCTACCCCTCCCAATTCCCACCACCCAGTGCTCCATAGGGCAGTGTTGTCTGAGAAGTGCTTATGCCAGACCTGCTCCTGGTGCCCATTGTCGAGTAATGAAAATGGAACATCCCAGAATGTGGAGCTAACATCCCAGAGTCACCCCAGCCCACATTTGAGGGAGTGTGCACAGCAGTCCCTCAGCTAAAACATCTGCTCAGGGACTTCCAGTCAGGATGGCAGAATAGACAGTCCCCAGCATCACTCTGTCTCACAAATCAACTAATTTACAACTACAATAAAGCAACAACAGCCAAGCTGGGGCCACTAGAGCTCAGGGGAAGAGGAGGAGAGACCTACAGAGTGCATGAAAGGCAGGAGAAGTCACGATGAGAGAAAGAAAAAACCACTCAGACTGTTTGAGCCCTGGCTGTGTCCAGGCTGGAGCTGCTGAGTGCACAGAGCAGAAGCTGGCAAAAGCCGCAGCTGTGCCCTACAGATGAAGTTGCTTGGAGGCGGCAGGGGAGAAGAGGGCCTTGGTGACCCCCAGGCCAGTGAGACCACTAATAGGGTTCCCATGGACCCATGCAGGAGTGAGGAGCCAGAACAACTGAAAAAAGGGAACCACT